TCTGACACTAGACGGGTTTGAGTCCAATCCGGGTCTGTGGCTGTGATTAGATGATTTCAGCTGGAATTAGGTGAAGCTGCTGCTAAGAAACGGTTCTGTTCGGGTTCTGGCCTGGTTGTTGTGAGGGGGAGCTACTGGAAGTAAGTCGGGTTTAAAGATGGCTGTTGGTGCTGAAGGTCCAACCAGAACTGCTGCCAGGAACCCAGAGATCATCCGCTGGAAGCCGAACCGAACCGGGTTCTGTTCCGGGTCGGATCCACCAGCTGAAACTGAAAGAATCCTCTCCTCCTGATACAGGCCTCATTTCCTCAGAAAGCCACTCTGCTCTCCTCCATGAAGCCAGAATTTCCCCTAATCTTTGAACTCATCTCCTCTAATGGACCTCTCTGGAGCTGCCTCTCGCCCAAAATCTAATTTCGTCTGTAAATCTGCAGGATTTTGTTTTCCAAATAAACGTCATGAAATGTGTTTGGAGGGCAGAGGATTCCTGCTGTGCTGGGGGGTTCCTGCCTGATGGACGGCAGATTCCTGGGATCTCATAGATCCGCTGTCAGAGATCCGTCTCTGCAGCTTCAGATCTCCTCCAGGTTCGGTTAAGCATCCTGCTGATCTCTGTGTGTGTTTGCTCTGCAGAACATCGCTGCTTAGAGTCGACCAAGATCCGCAGCAAGTACCCGGACCGGGTCCCGGTGAGTGTCCGGCGGCGGGACGTGTCCCCTCAGTGGGACGTGCCCCCGCCTCTAACGTCTCTGTCCCTGGCAGGTCATCGTGGAGAAGGTGTCGGGCTCCCAGATCGTGGACATCGATAAGAGGAAGTACCTGGTGCCGTCCGACATCACGGTGGCCCAGTTCATGTGGATCATCAGGAAACGCATCCAGCTGCCGTCGGAGAAGGCCATCTTCCTGTTTGTGGACAAAACCGTCCCACAGTCCAGGTCAGCTTCCGGTTCCCGCCCTGCGTCGGTTTTCCCACTGGGGATCCAGACCTGATCCCAAACTCTGGCTCTCCTGGTTTTACTTTGAACTTTGACCTGCTTTTCACCCAGTTTCCCACCAGAGTCCGACCATGTGCATAAATCATCACATCTCATTAGTTCTCATGTTTACGTTGACCTGTCACCATAACAACCGTAAATCATCCCTGAAGTTATCACGATAAACGATAATATTGTTATTTTGACACCATTTAAAGTATTATAATTTTAATAAAGGCATAATAATGCAAGATCATATTCTGAGAGATCAATACACTTATTAGGTTCTAATGAAGATTTAACACTGGAACTGGAAGACATTTTAAATATCCAAAATAAATAAACAAGAGAAACAACAAATAAAATGAATCATGAAGTTTCTGTAAACACCAGGCTGAAGAATTTTATCTTCCAGTTTTTGGTAGAAAGAGAAAAAATTATAAATCCTTCCAGTGGAGATTATTGAGCTAATTTTAATTTATCATGTGATTTATTGATTTACTGATTATTGCGACCGGTTATGAAAGATGGCTGCCGCGCTGTCAGTCACTGCTGGACGTTTTGCAGAAGTTTTCACACTGCGGGCGAAAATGATTCATGGTTTTTAATGTTTTACGGATAAAATCTGAAAAGTGTGGAGAGCAGATCTTCCGACTGAAAATGTCTCCAACTCAGTCAAGTTGAATGGAGAACATCAGCTTTTTCAGGTCTAGTCTTTGACTAGGCCACTCTAACCCATGAATCTGCTTTCAACGTTTTTCCTTTGTGGCCAAAAATGGTAAATTTAAACAAATCACAGGCCATAAAATTCATTAAATCAAAAATAAAAAATGAGTATATTGTGAATTTTCTCCTTTTTTTAAGTTCTACCTGCTGTTTAATAAACCAAATTTTAATAAAATCTGATATTTTAAAAGTCCAGCTGCATTTCCATTGATTGTAATTACACAGTTTGACATTTAGAAAATAAATTCTCCTAATGGAAACACACCAATTTTTAAAAATCTTGTTTTTCAATAAAAAGTTTTTTCACCAGGATGAGGTGGGATTTTGGTCGCATTGAAATTACTTTATTTAATAAAAATTTTTTTTTGCATCATATCATGTTTCTACTGGAACAAACCACAAAGAATTTAATTTAATTTCTTATTTAATGGAAACACAGCACCTGTGAATTTATTTATTTATTTATTTTGTTTTTTTACATTAGTGGAATATTGTCACAGTTTTGGCTCATTTGTAACAGAAACAAAGCAACTGTTGCTTTACTAAAAAAACTATTCCTGAGTTTTTTGGCTCATCAGTTGTTTTTCTGTTTGTTGGCCAAATTTTTCCCATTCATGTCTTGTGGTCAGAGGGCCGATCAAAATAATTTCCAGAGCCACAAATGGGCCCCGCGCCACACTTTGGACCCCTCTAATGTAAACCATCCCATAATTTCTCCAGCTGGATGTTCAGGCGGTCGACCTGCTGGAAGCTGAACCTTTAAAAGACTTTCTTCCAGAATTATCCCGATTCAACTCCATCCATCTTCCCATGCTTCCCACAGCATGATGCTGCCACTTCCATGTTTCACCGGGAGTCATGGTGTGTTCAGGGTGACATGTAGTGTTGGTTTTCCAACATTTAGTTCCTCTGATTGGACCTCAGTCTTCCACATTATGACTGTTGGGAGACCTGTGGGATGTTTGCAGGGTGTGAATACTTTTGGATGAGACCTGTGGGATGTTTGCAGGGTGTGAATACTTTTGGATGGTTAAATGATGGCGCCTCTGATCCGTTGCAGCATCACGATGGGGCAGCTGTACGATAAGGAGAAAGACGAGGATGGCTTCCTGTACGTGGCGTACAGCGGAGAGAACACCTTCGGCTTCTAGGAACCGGGCCGGAGTCCGACTCTGCCCGCTGCGACCCGGTTCCGGTACCGCCGGCCTGGTGAGGGAGCGATCCTGCCTGAACAGCTGTTGTCCACCTTTCTACAGATTCACCTTCATTGTGGCGCCGTTTCAATCACTTTGGGTTTGATGCTGTTTGTGTTTTAGATCCTGTTTGATTTTCTCTTCTTGCGTTTTTTAAGTGACGGGTTTGAATGAAGTTTGTTTTAATGCTTTTGTTTTTCTTTGAATTTAATTTAATCAAAATGAATTTTAAGTTAAATGTGTGAGGGTGAGGTAGCTGGATGACCTAACCAATAAAAGATGAAGACTGAACGTGTTTCATCGTCTCCTTTAAATCATCAGCAGCCACAGATCATCTCCACTGCAGAGCATGAGGAGAAATAGCGACACCTGGCGGCAGACTGGAAGTTGCTGCAGATAATTATTTAACTAGGTCAAAGCTAAATATTTAGATAATATCCAAATTTACTTGCTGATAAGCAGAAGTGGATTATCAAAATAAAAGCAGTGTTTGTGAGCCTGTAATATTTGTTAATGGTTGTTGTAGATGCAGCAGGTGACGGCATCAGCTTCGAAGCAATTCAGTTTCACCAATAAGAGTTAGCAAGTTAAATATTTAGCCTCAAACTTTATATTTAGTCATATTTTCACCGTGTTTCACATTCATAAATGTCACAGTTTCAAAATAAGTTAGTAAGTTAAATTAGTTAACCAGTTAACTAGCTTCAAGCTAAATATGTAGCTCTGAACTAGCTAAATACAACATAATTTAGCTTAAATCCGGAATGTGCAGATTGACTCAGGATGTGGCCTGATGTGGAACTGTCTGGACATAAAGACCATTAACAGGGACCACCATAACAACTGGGAAGCATGGGAGTGGCACCATCATGCTGTGGGGCTGTTTTCTGCAGGAGGAACTGGGGCACTGAAGGAGAGAAGGTTATTTAATCAAGACATGATCCAGGAAGTTAAGGACAGAGGACAAGTGGATGTCCCTCACCATAAACATCAGCTGCAAAATGTTTTCTTGACACGAGGTCAATGATTCAGTCCAAACATCGTCTCTACAGCTTCACAAACACTTCCATGAAAAATTATGAACTTCTTTCATAAAACAGCTTCTATGTGCAGTATGGAGGTGCGCGTGTTTCTCTCCAGGTGGAAGCTATGATCCACAGGGAGCCTGGCTGGTTCTGGTCGTTAGCAGGCCTCAGTGTGGCCTGAGGTCAGAGGTCGCCTCCCTCTGCCTGGCGGTGCCCCAGCTGACCTTCCAGACTCAGAGGAAAAGTTTTTCTCTGAGCCAAACTTTCTGGAATGGTTCTGGAAGAGTTTCAGGGATCGTTCTTCTACGAAGCGTTTCATTTCTGCTTTCTGAATGTTCGGCGAACGGCAGTGAAAGGTCTCAGCACTTCCAGTTTCAGTTCCTCGTGTCTCTGCCGCCGATCTGTGAACCTCGCAGTACTTGGAATCCATAGAAACCTGAGAGGTCGGTTCAGGTGTAGCTGCTGGTTTTCTGCTTCAACCTGAGGTCAGCAGGAGGTCAGCAGGAGGTCAGCAGGAGGTCAGCAGGAGGTCAGCAGGAGGTTGGGTTCAGGTGAAGTTCTGCTGATCTGGACGGCATTAACTCCACGTCTGATAATGAAGAAAAGAAGCGCTGAGATCTGATAAAAACTTAAAACTGAGATTATATTTCTCCTGGTTTAGGTTCCCTCCACCGGCTCTCTGTTAAATCCAGATTATAATCTCAGATTATCACATATAAACCCATTAATAATCAGAGATCTGATTGGTCCATCAGTCCTTCCTTCTGTTATTATTACCTTCTTTAGCAGATCATTATTGTTATTTTATATCATTATCATCATTATTTTTTTATTAGTTTGTTTGCATGTCAGTGTGTAGATTTATGGGATTAAATGATGAAGTCAAAGCTTAGACATAAACCATCTTTAAAAAATGAGTTTATTGGGAAATGTGTTTAGGAAGAGAGCTATTGATTAATAAACTGATAATGCATTGATTTATCAGAGCGATTTGAATGACTGAATTAAAATGATTTTTGACGTTTGCTGTGAATTAGCGCCATAAAAAATAAACTGAACTGAAAGTTGGTCCATAAAACCAGTTTTCTGTTTTCTGTCAGGATGAAGATCCTTTTCAGAGAAAGAGGAAGAGGAGGAGGAGGAGCCGCTGCTTTCTGAGAACAGCTGCTGATGATGAACATATAAACAGAGCCGGTTGGACCGGTCCGGCACACTTCCAGAACCTCCGGAACCATGAAGATCCAGCTGATCCTCTGCCTCCTGGCTCTCCTCTGCTCCCTGCGGTCCAGCTCTGCAGGTCAGAAACTTTCTCCTACTCCTCTCCACTGATGGAGACTCTCCTCCTCCTCCTCCTCCTCCTCCTCCTCTTCTCTGTTTCTCTACTTCAGCTGTAAATCTTTTGTTGGTGCTGAAGTTCTGGTTCTGTTCGCAGCTCCAGTCGGACCGGGCGAGATACTTGATGCCTGTTGCCATGGCAACGGCAAGACGCAGATTCCCAAAGGGAAAGTGAAGGAGATGAAGAACTCTCCGATTCACTGCAAAGTCAGATCTGTCATGTGAGTTCACCACAACTTTAATAAATTACTAAAATAATGACTGAAAACAGAATAAATATAATAAATTAGCATCAAAACGGAGATTCTGGGCTTCACTGACCAGACTGCTGCTGGATCCACATGACTAATGAAACTAAGCCAGCGTTCCAAAATAAAGCTCCTATGTTCTCTTCAAAATAAAAGTCTCAAATTGTGATCAGATTAGAACAAATCTGCATTATTATTATTATTATGATTATTATTATTATTATTAAACCAGGATGGAAACAATGATTCTGTTGGCTTTTAAAGATGCATAAATACCAAAATATGAACTTTGTTCTGGTGTTGGGCGGTCAGCCGGCCCGGTTCTGACCCAGAAGCTGTGTGTTCTGCCAGCCGGTCCGGTTCTGAACCTCCTGCATGTTGTTCTCCTGCAGAGTCACCACTGAGAGCAACAAGAAGTTCTGCCTGGATCCCAACTGGACCTGGACCCAGGTACTGCAGAGAGAGTTTAGGAAAGAAAAACGGCTCCACTGAGATCTGGATCTGGGTCGGAACCGAGTCTGCTGGAGCGGGAAGAACCGATTGGATGTTTTAACGACACACTGGACGTGTCGCTGATAGTTCTCCATTTTTACTGCTAATTTATGATTTTATAAACTCTGAGTTGTTTTTCAGTTTGTCTGATGGAGAATGTAACATTTAGTAACATTTATTTTTTATGACAGCCAACGAGTCACTGATTTTTAATGAAACTTTTGTTTCTTTTTGCTTTTTGTTTGTCAGCTGAAAACATGTTGCTGGAAAAGTTGATCATGTTCAGCTCAAAGTTACTCATTTCGTAATAAAAGCCGTATTTTCCTATCTGCTGCTTCACGCTCTTTATTTTGGTGATCATGAAAGTTTTCTGAAATATGTCAGTGTAGCAAGTTGATTTTATTATTATTATGAATTAACATTCTCAAAACATTCAGGGGAACATTTTATTTTTACTGTTTCTACTTTTACACTCTTCTTCTTCTTCTTCTTCTTCTTGATACATATGTTTTTGATATTTATTGGCGGTTGGCAAGTGTGGACCACATGACAAAGCCCCCTCCCCCCCAAAAGAACTATATCCTATTATACAACGGTTAATAACGGTTAGATTTTAAAAAATCTAATATAGCCTTATATCCTCTGCTTCCCGAGTCCTTTTGCAGCAAATCAACAATGCCAAATTTCATTTTCATGTTTACTAATTTCCTTATGTTTGTTACCAAGTTAATAGTTCCTGATGTTACTTGTTGCGGGGGGCGGTAATTGGTGTGACACAGCTGTTATCCATGTACGTAGCCGTCTGTGATGGTGAGTTTTGCTTTCCACGATCTCCCTGTGAGCTAAGCTAGCAGTTATGAAATGAAATTTAGTTGCTAAAAAGGTTAAGATTGTAATAGCTGTTTTTATAAGGTCTGTGTTTGATTTTGTTCCATATAGCGTGTTTGGTAGTCTCAGTATTCACTTTTTACCTGTGCTGTCGTGGGAAGATTGCTGTGCTGGGAGCTGTAGCCGCTGTGTGAACTGATCGGCGCCGTTTGCTGCTGTTTTAAAGGCTTCTGCCTCATTCTGGCGACCATTTGGAACCTGCTACATCAGCTGAAGATTTAAGCTAAATTTAGAGATTGAAGGTGAATATTCAGTTTGTGAAATATTCATGTAGCTTACAAACTAAATATTTAGCTCGCTAAATCACTCAGTCACCGCGTCAGACGGAGGCGTGTGATCAACACAAACAGCCTTTTCTCTGAAGCCGTTCAGAGCTTGAACAAACACTTTGCACATTTTCAACCTTCACATCTTAAATTTACGTTATTTGTAGGAAAAATAAATTGTTTCGTGTAAACGGGAAATTAATGTAGACAGAAGCAGATGGAAACAATAAAAATGCAAATATCCCCAAAAGTTTTATCAACATGTTGATTTATTAATTTATTCCCCTCATCTGAGCTCAGCTGGCGTTTCAATCATGTAGCTCCATCTTAAAGGGCCAGCGACAGAACCGCTCAAACTCCCAGGAATTCCTGTCTTTTCTATAGAAAACATTTCATAGATCAGGTCCACATGAATTAATGCAAAAACAGAAAACCAGCAGAGCAAAAGAAAAGAAGAGGAAGAACAGAGAAATGGAGGAAAGTGAAACCAGAGTTTCTGTTCTGATTGTTGCGATTTCAAACTTCACAACTAGAGGGCAGTAATAGCCCCGATGGGTGGAAAATACGTTGATTCTTTTCTATGTACATCCTGCTTTTAATGGAAAAAAAAGCATTGTTTTAAATAATAAAAGGCAGTCAGACAGCCTCTTAACATAACCATATGGTTAAAGACTTTAAATGATTGGTGTCTTGCTAACTTTTAGTTTTAACCTTTATTACTTGAACAGGATTTTAAACGAGACTTTTTTCCAGAACATGAACTGGAATCCAAGTTGAGCTGAAAAGTTTTCTGGAACCACGGAGGAGAAAAACTTCTGCTAAAGTCCGGTTTAGACAAGAACTGTGTCAGATTCAATGATGATGAAGGTGACTTCACATTACAATACAAGGAAACGATTCATATCATAAACGCCGACGCTAAAAACTGTTCAGCCCCCTGGATGTTTGACTCTTTCTGTTGCTTTTGTAAATCAGTCTCTTCCCTGCCTACAGATGAAACACATTTTAAGTTATATCTGTATTTTTATTTTAAGTCCATCCATCATAATGGTTTTTTCACCAGGACAGTTCCAGTCCTGATCTGGTTCCATTTCCTCCTCCTGGGAACCGAGTCAGAACCACATCGTTATGAACTCATCCAGTCCATGTTTTATTGCCTTTATATGATCATAGTTAACAGTTTAATTTAAGCATCATATCTCTGTGTAAACAGCTGCTCAGTTCATTAACAGTTAGATCCTGAATGCGTTTCAGTCGGCTGGAAAACCCGACCTGAACTTTTAGGGAACCAGAGATTCAGGGGAATCCTCAGCTGTGAGCGGATCACTGAGACTCAGCTGCTGTTTTTCTGATGCTAATCTGAAATTTTATCATCATTAGTGACCCTTTCATTCAGCAGTTTCTGTGTTTTTCATTTTTAATTTGATGGTGCCTCCCAATCAAAGCCTCTGATCCAGTGAGTTTCGCTGCAGCTGAAGTTCAGTGGAAAGACTCAACAGAACAAACACAACGCGATCCAAACCTTTACGTTTAACGGTTGTTCCCCAGCTCTGTTCAGTCCACTTTAACCCGACTCCAGTCCGTCTGTCTAGTCAAAGTCTGGTTCGGTTGGTGAAGTGTGAATTGTGAATGCTAATCAACCTCTGACCTCAACCGGTCTGAGTTCTGTTGAAGTGAACTCTGGTTTGGTTTGAATGTGAAAGCCAAGCGGTCCAGTAACCGCTCTAAAAGCAGGAAGTGGACTACAGCGCAGGGCATTCTGGGAAATACAACCAAAGCTAACGTGCTAGCAGCAGAAACGGCTCCTGGTCTTTAGCCAAAGACTAAAGAGAAATCCTCCAACCGCTAAAATCCATCTTGTTTCCATCTGGTGAAGAAGGAAGTTGCTCTCAGTGTCTTCAGAGGTTTCTGTGTCGTTTCCTTCAGTGGTTCTTGGTGCAGCGCCCCCACAGGCCAGGAGGGGAACAGGTTGGTTTGACTCAGAGCAGAGAGGAAGAGAACCACAGCAGCTGGAGATGTTAAATGTTTTGGTACCAATAGAACCAAGTCTTCCGGACTATCAGAGGGAAATCAGGCTACATGTTGGCTCCGTCCATACATAAAAACCTGGCTGGGATTTAAATCGATGGACCTCCTGGATCACATGCAACAGATTCTCTAAATCTGGACTCAATAAAGGGTTGAAGCTGCAGCACTGAACAAAACTAAACCTGATGAAGAAGATATTAAAGGAAGACTCCTCAGCTGGAGACCCAACATCAGCGGATCCTCGGGCTCGGATCCTGCAGGTTGGTCAACCGGATGCATCCCAGACCTGCAGACCCGGGCCCTCAGGAGCAGCGGCCGGACGTCCATCTGGGAGTCAGATTAAAGGTTTAAAGGGACGGACACTGGAAATGTCTGAACTTGTGGTCCATCAGAAAGCAGAGGGTGGCAGCGTGGACCGATGCGTCTCGTTGGACGTCATTCCCTCACTTTCCTTTTTGGACGCAGACGAGAAGTCTTCCTGCGAGAAGTCGCTCATCTCCTCGTGGCGCTCCTGCTTCCACACGCGCTCGTACTCCTGCTTCAGCTCCTGGTAGGAGCGAGAGAAGGTGTGGAAGATGGAGGTGGCTGGGAACGCCATGATGAGGATGCCGCTCAAGATGCTGATGAGTGCCACCATCTGGCCGGGGACGCTGCGCGGCACCATGTCGCCGTAGCCCACCGTGGTCATGGAGATGATGGCCCACCAGTAGGAGGCCGGGATGCTGCTGAAGCTGTGCTGGGGGTGCGCGGCAGCAAACGGCGCCAGCTCGCTCTCGGCCAGGTGGACCAGCGGTGAGAAGAGAGCGACGGCTACGCAGACGAAGAGCAGCAGCAGGCCGAACTCCCGCATGCTGCGCTGCATGGTGACGCCCAGCGTCTGCAGGCCCAGGGAGTGGCGCGCCAGCCGCATCACGTACAGGATCCGCAGCGCCCGCAGCAGCCGCAGGATCAGGCTCAGCTTGTCCAGGTAGCCGCGGCCCGCCCCCATCACCGCCTCGTCCTGCGCCTCCTCTCCGAAGTCGAACACCAGCGACACGTAGTACGGCAGGATGGCGATGGCGTCGATGACGTTGAGCGGGCCGCGAGCGAAGGCCAGCTTGGAGGGAGCGTTGACGAAGCGCAGCAGGAACTCCAGGGTGAACCAGGCCACGCACACCGACTCCACCACAAACATGTTGTGACACTTCTGGGAGCATTCACCCTGCGGAGAGGAAACATGGAGATGAAGAGACATTACACCAAACTACGGCATCTGGGAGGCAACGCGAAGAGACGACGACGGTACCAGGTGGAAACGAATGAGCTGTTTGTCAAGCTTCACAGTTAGAGAAGCAACAGTTTGGACTATTTGGCCTGTTATAAACTAAATACTTAATTAGCCAACCAATTATTTAGTGTTGAATATGTACCTTGAGGTTAAATAGCTTTAAACTCAATATTTGGTTTGTAAGTCTGAGCTACTAATCAGACTGCTAACTAATTTTTTTGCTAACTAAAAAGGTAGTTAACAAGCTAAAGATTTAACTCACTGAAATACTTTGGAGGTAAATATTTAGTTTGAAGCTATTCTGAGCTAAATATTTAAATTTAAACTAAATATTTAGTTTGTGACATTTATGAACAACACGGTGAAAATCTGACAGGATTATTATTTCATGACAGGATTATTTCCTCCTGAAGTCTAAACCAGCTGTGTGTTGAAGCAGGAAACGCCTCCAGCTAGCAGCAGGTCAGGTCAAGGGTCACACCTGGAGAAACCACCCGAGTCAAAAACGGGTTGTTTCAAAAGGAAACATGATTTTAGTTTCTGTCCGGAGTGGGAGACGAGAAGCCCTGCTGTGATGTCATAATGTTTCTGTTCCTGCTGCATGAAAAACCATCAGCTCTGAAAAGCCTGAGTGACAGATTATCTCCAGGTTGATGAAGGCAGAGCTCGTTGCGACGTGAAGATCTTGGATGAACTTTGCAGGAAGACCAGAAGAAGATGAACAACGGTGGGAAAATGACAGGAGGATTCCCGGCTGGGAGGAAATCTGCTGCTTGTTGTTCAGGATCCAGAGGAGGAAAAATCGGCAGCTCTGCCCGGAAACTGACACATCAGGCTTCTGTAGAATATTAATTCAGATTTATCGTTTAAAGACATGATGGACGCAGCGTTCTGCTTCCTCTCCTTTCCTTCTGCTAATCTGGATTTTTAGTTTTCATCCTTAGAGGAAGATTGAAGGCTGACAGGTACAGAAATCCACAGATTAATTATTTAGGACATTGTTTTATCTTATCACTTGTATAAGATTGAAAATAATATTTATAATTCAGCAGATTGTAACAACAAATCAAGGAAATATTAAATATTCTGAATTTTTAAGCTGCAAACACGTTTTTTCAGCATGAAAACCTGCAGAGCATCGATTTCCTTCCTGCTGGAACATAAAAAATCTTTTTCTCTTCCTGTGAGATTCAACAACAGAACAGCGAAGGCCGGCGCATAAAAACACAGAGATGATTAACGAGCCTGTCAGCGCGACAGACGCAGCTTCTAGGAAATAATAAAGTCAATATTTTTAATCTGGACGCCGCCGCCACAGGAAGCTCTGCTCCAGCAGACAGGAAGTTATCAGAGATGTTTCTCCAAACACCTTCCAGCCTGAGGACAGCGAGCCGTCGTCATGTCGGATCTGAGCTCAGACTGGATCAGAAGAGACGCAGCGCGCTGACGCCTCAGGGTTCACCAGAGGAGAGAATCAGACCAGCAGCAGCCGGGTCAGGTTGAACAGCTCCAGCTCAACCTGAACAACTTGGACTAGGCCATTCTGAACTATACCATAATGCCTCTGGCTGACCTGCTGCTGAACTGACTCTTCGGCCATCAGCAGCTCTACACAGATGCAGAGTCCATAAACTAAATATTTAGCTTTAAAGTCAGTATTTAGTTTGAAACTATGTAGTTTCAACATAAATAGTTACAAAACGTAGCTTCAAGCTAAACCTTTTGTTTGTGGCTAACTGTTTAGCATCACACAACATTTTGCATGAACTTCAGTTCAGGTCTGAGATCAGAGCATCTTCTGCATGTTTACCGTCTCCAACAGAACTTCATCCCACAGCATGACAACTCCAGCACCATGCTTCAGGAAAGGAATCCACAGTTTTGACAGTAAAACCGAATAGTAAACTTTGGTCTAATCTAAGCATGCTTCTGTCCATGATATGCTGATCTATCACTTAAAATCTCTGGTGTTTATCATATAACAAAATGAGGAAACGTTTAAGTGTTACTTTTCTAAAAAAGGTCAAGAGTTCAGTTCTCATTGGAAAACCGATTCTTCATTAGTATTTTTCTCGGATTAAAGTAAAAATAAGAGTTGTGTTTTGGGTGACAGACTGATGGTGACAAAGATCCTGAAAATCAAATTTAAAACATTATTAGTCAGGACAGAAAGTAGAACTGGTTCAGGACTTTTGCTCAGTCCTGAACCAGTTTAGGGATCTGGGTTCGGTCCAGTTCCCTAAACTGGAAAAGCCTGGAAAGAGTCAGACTCACCCGGTTCTCCTCGTCTCTGAGGTCCGGCATGGTGCTGATGCAGAGGCTGACCACAGTCACCAGAACCATGATGATGGACAGGCAGGCGAAGATCTTTCCTGCCAAACCCGAGTGCGGGTTTTCCATCACCTCCCGCAGCGCCGACACCAACCTGCGGTAGCCCTTCTCCACCTGCGGGGGTCTCTTCTTCAGCTTCATCCTCTTCTGCCTCCACTCCTCCTCCTTCCGCCGGCGCTCTGCCACCTCATCCACCCGGGTGATCATCCGCCGCCGGCAGCAGCGCTCCATGTGGCCCGGGTCCACTCCCCAGTAGTCCAGCTCATCATGCAAAGAGACGGCGCACAGCTCCCGCAGAAGACGCAGCTTCCCCGCCGCCAGGAAGTTCAGGATGACCCTGAAGGCCGTGGGGTTCCGGTCGAAGAAGAACTCCCGGCACGTCTCGTCGTAGTCGTCGCAGAGCCGAGCGATCTCCTCCGGCGTGGTGCAGGAGCGAAGACGGGCCAGGCGGCTCTGGGGGAACTGCTCCAGCGTGCTCCAGGGGAAGGCGTAGCGGTTCCCCCCGACGTTGATGAGGACCTGCACGGCATGGTCCACCACGAAGGAGGCCTGGGGCTCCCTCAGCAGCTGGGCACGTTGGAAGTACACCCCCTTTAGGGTCTCGGTCTCTGGGATCTCAGTGAAGAAGCGGTCCAGGCTGCTATCATCGCTGCTGATGGAGTAGGTGCTGAAGTCATGGTTGGCGTTGCTAATGATGGGCATGCTGGCAACAGATCCGGGACGGGATGGAAGAACTTTCTGTGGGTCAAGCTAACGAGAAAGACCAACTCCGAGCAAGACACTGAAAAGACAGAAAAACTAGAAGTTAGCCAGAGATGCTGCTCAGCTCCGTTCCCTTTACTCATGTACGTAAATGTTTGTCGATCTTTTGCTAATGTTGAAAAATCACAATCACACGTGAATGAGCTTGTTCCAGCAATAAGCCTTTAAAAGTCAAGGCAGCGATGGATGAAAACCATCGTCCTCCTCACACGTCCTGCTGTCTTCTTTGTTGTTTCTGCCAGTAGTAGCATCCAGCTGTTGATCATGTGACTCCGTGAAACAAAATGAGTGTTTCCATTGCATCTTTGCAACATACATCTGTTTCTATACATAATCCTAGCACAAAAACATTTTATTGAGTTTTTTCAAAATTGGTGAGCTTCCATTTAGCAAATTTATTTTGGTACATTAAATTTACGCAATCCTTGTTAATGGGAACATAGCTAGTGTCTGAGCCACTTAAAGAGCTCCACAGACCCAACATTAGCCACATTGACATCACCCTTAATCACTAAGAGTGATCCATCTTTCAAATACAGCAGCTTTGTGCTCCAATTTGAAAAACCTTCAGCCACCAGTTTCTGGCTCAACTGTTGGGGAACTTTGCTGATTTTCCAGCTTTAAACTTTGTCAGAGGATCCTGTGTGATGGCAGTGAGACAGTAGTGAGGTGTGAGGTAAGGAAAGGCACCTGGGAGTCAGGCTTCAGCCTCTTCTGGTTTACAGTGGTTACAGGTTGACAGGTGAGGTGAGACAAGAATCCTCAGATACAGAGTCCTGCTGTTTGCTGATGACAGGGTGACGTAGCCAGCAGGGTGGAGATGTGATGTAGCTAAAAACAGAAGTCTTAAATGATCATTCAGGGTAGTAAAAATCTAGTTGTGCAGAGTCAAAACTCATTTTTAAATATCTGGAATGTAACTACAGAAACCAAATCTATGTTAAAACGGCCTGCCATGTTCCCTCTTTCCTCCAGCAGGTGGCGCCTCTCAGATTTCTGGGGATCTAAGCTCAATCTGTCGCTTTACTCCATCAGACCACCGTAAAGCTGGAATCAAATAATATTTTAGATTGAATTATGTCCAACTGACCGGCCGGAAGCTGCAGCATCACCAACAGATGACCTTTAACCTCCAGCTTTATCCCGGTTCTCTGGTTTAGTTTCTAACAGAAGGTGTTTCTGAGAACTTCTGGATCCTCGGCAGAGCTTCAGACCTGATGTGAAGCTGCAGCTGCTGATTCGCTCAGGTTTCAATCAAAATAAAAAAGTTAAGGAATGAGACGAGAAACCGAGTCACCTTTCAGAGCGAAGCCGCTGCGGTTCAGATGGAGCGTCAAGAAGTTAGAGTCCCTCAGCACAGCCTGTCCTCGGGATGTCCACCTGTCCCTCGGGATGTCCACCTGTCCCCGGGATGTCCACCTGTCCCCGGGATGTCCACCTGTCCCCGGGATGTCCACCTGTCCCCGGGATGTCCACCTGTCCCTCGCAGAGACAATAATGCAGTTATCTAACCTGCTGCTGTGTTTTCATCTTGTTCCGACAGCAGGACCTTCCTCCTCTTCGTCCTCGTCCTCCTCTTCCTCCTCTCTAACAGGCGGCTCCGCTCTCAGAGGTCGGGAGAAGTTTGTTAAAAGCAGGAAATGGATCCGGAGACGCACATACTTCCCCAGGTTGGTCCGACTGAGATCCGACCTGCTGCGCGGACCGAACCGAACAGGAAAGTGATCCGGTTAGAAGAGCTGGCAGGTCTGGAGCGGCCACCAGGGGGCAGGAGTGAGGTGAACTCACCTGTAAAGGCAGCCAGTTGCTCTGTGGAAAAAGAAATCACATTTTTATTTACTACGATTCAGAATTGGTATTGCATTTCCCAAAGTCGATTTAAAAAAATAAAGAAATCCCCCGCCTGTTATTCTGTAACTTCTCAGTTCCGGGACGTACCCATAAAAACACCAAACTGTCGTTTTGCAGACATGAGAATAATTTATAATTGCCCCAAACGAACCAAATTGAGAGAAGATTCCCTGTCAGTCCGTCCACTCATAAATTCATGTTGTGACTGAGTTTACATGTTCTCCCTGTGAATGGATGAGTTTTCTCTGGGTACTCCCGCTTCCTCCTTCAGTCCAGAATCCCAGTGACCTGCATGGAAACTGTTAACAGCTCATAAGAGAAGAAGGATGACCAACATTATTTTACTGTTGTAGACAGAAAAAAGCAAAGCCTCATTTTACATTCAACACACAGCTTAGAATAAATTAAAACATAAAAAATATAAAAGCACAAAGACATGAAATGATCCAACGATCAGCCGGGTTCGTCTGTCCTGCTTCAACAATGACTCTGTTCACCTGAAATAATGATTTAGCTTCATGTGAAAAGGTTCTGTAGACTTTAAGGATTTTCTTGTTCCTCCTAATTAATCTTCCACAGGAATACATATATATAGTGTGTGTGTGTGTGTGTGTATAAATATAATAACAAAATATCCACACCTCCCGAAATCGGCAGCAAACAAGGTGCTGCAGCATTCGGCCGAACTGAAGGGTTCCAGTATTTTTCTAGAAATCAACCTGAAGCTCAGACAGTGCACTTTTCTTCTTTATGTTCTGTACAACTGTAATAGAATAACTTGTGCCTGGTGCAGGTTGGCGTTCAGCAGACAGGATCAACTATCCAGAGGATGGAAAGCAGAAGCCGGGTGTGTCCGTCTGCAGGTCCATGATGTCACGGCGGATTTGCATCGCTGCGTTACAAGAACCAGGCGGCGGCTTCGCTGCAGATTTAATTAAATATCAGACGGACTGAAGGTGAGATCTGAGCCAAGCTTCAGAGAAACAAAACACGCAACATGTTTCAGAGTGGGAGGAAGCAGGAGAACAGAAAAACCCCAGGTTGGGATTCAAACCCACAACCAGCCGGGATTCCAGCCGCTCAGTATTTTCTCCAGTTTGTAAAAGAGCAAAGCGGTCCGATTCTGTAAGCCCAGCGCTGTTTGCAACACGGTGATTCTGATAAACAGACAACAGAAGTTCTTATTTCCTTCCTTTAGAATGCATTAATTTTGTTGCCCAGAACGTTGGACAAAATCAAATTTTCATTTCGAATGACATTTAAGACAGTTCTAGCAGATTTCAGGAAATCTTTGTGAAACATTAAAACTTTTCATCCAGTTTTTTACTTTCAAGTTTTTAACCCGACTCATAAAACATTTAAGTTTATTGTCTCCTGTTCCCTATTTGTGTGGATTATTTCAAATGTCCTGTACAGATGATCCGTTCAGAACCTCAGGGCCGGTGTTCTGTCAGATCAGCATACATTGTCAGATAGTCATACGCTTAGCTCAGTCATGTATATGCAGT